TGTTCGAACAGTTCCTCTGAGCGGAACTGAGCTGAGCTTGTCGACCCCTAGTCGATACCCGTCGTATTGGTATTATGACATCTGTGGAAAAAGGTTTGCAAAAATTATTAAAAACAGTCGAGGTTTGTATAAATAATTTTAAATAATATATTCAACATCCAGTAAGAACAACAGTTCAAAATATCTCTTTTTTTATCGTTTTTTTTAGTGGTATTAGAACTTTGGCTAAGCCGCACGTTATCTTCAACAATTGTAACTAAAAATAAGTTTATTGCGAAAGCTCTTATTTTCAAGACCTCATATAAAGCTAATATTATTGAATATTTATATCAAGATGAAGATATTTTGGATAACAAAAAAACGTATGTATTTCAATAAAATTAATCATGTTAAAATTAAATAAAGATTAAATGAAAAATTACAAAACTATGTTTTCCAAGTTTATCAAATATAGCAACTTTCTAATAGAACAGCTTTGAGAAATATTGTAGACTTGTTTAAAATCATGATTGATAATGAATTACATGAAATCAATCCATCTTATATTGATATTTGTTATTTTATTGGCAACTGAATATTTTAAGGTAGAACAATTATCGCAACATCCTGCTTCGGTTAAACAAAAAACAATAATTCAACACTATTACTTTCATCTATCGTTATAAATGAGAATCTAGTTTACAACTCAGTTAATTGTTCAAATCGTAAAACAATATTAGTGTATGTAATACCATTGCATAGTTTAATTCATATGCTACACTATCTTATCTAGTTCTACATAGTCATCAACTAGATCGAGAGCATGAAACAAATAAGCTTGTCAAAGACCCAGTTATACAATATGCAGATAAAGATAATTGTATTGTTCAATATTTTCCTGCTCATTTAACTTTGAAATCTCGATTGTCTAAACTGCCAGATGAGCGTTGCGATTACACTAGGCGTACAAATATTAATTCATTTTACATATTCATTTCATCTTTGATACAATCTCATTATCTTTTTCGCTGCATGACGACGGTTTCAGAACTTTGAAGACTAATTTGCAATATTACAACATGGATTTCAAATTGCGAGAAGGCTTATAGATACAAATGAAACTACCGTTGTATAGTGAAATCTATTGTTAATCAATTCAAAACGTAGCTTAGTTCACGAATGATGACGCTATAAGAAAGAATCTGTTTCTTTAGAAGCTCATATCAATTTGAAAATTCTATTGAAAACCCTTTCTTCATTCCCTAAGGTCCAAAAACTGTTAAATTTTTGAAAATACTCACGATGACACCCTAAAAAAGTTGTTAAGCATTCTTAAACTACTGTCGAAAGTTTTGATTTACTAAATTGGAAATCAAAAATTTTTGAGTGTGCTGATCCGTGAAAATTTATAATAGTTTATCTAAACCGTTTATACGATTTTTTTAAAAGTTTTTGAAGTTCATAAAGTGATAAATCCCAAAATTGTATCAGTTTTGATTTCTGCATGACGCAAGTATTACAAATTTTTACAAACGTTAATAGGTATATGCATCAGTATATTTACAAGCAAAGGTCACAAAATAGAATAGAACATACATGTGGAAAGCTAATCATCTAAAATGTGGACAAAATTCTACAAGAAAGAACCATTAAATCAATAGTATTGTGTGAGATGCATACAGTTAAATACACTCGATAGACTTCTGACTAAGAAAAAATCATCAGTCGATCAGATCAACGGAAGTTCGTGATGAATATTTATTCCTTTTTTTGTCTCAAACTCGAAGATCTACTTAGGAATCATAGTCGTAGGTTACTTACCGAAATACAATAACTTGAATAAACTTTTTCGAAGTATTTCAATAAGAACAATTTCCAACTTGTTTGAATTTTATACATGCAAAATGCGTCGTTTATTTGTCAAATGATTCTTTTATTACTTTTGCAACATGAAAAAGCTTTGCTTATCTGATCTTTTTTCTTTCTATCTGATTCTCATTTATTGCTGTCAACCACACACTTTCTTGAGAAGTACTGCTCATGAGAATAGAAAAATACTGAAAATGAAGAGTAAACCAATAATGACCATGAATAAAGAAAAAAAAACCATATTTGTAAAAGGGAATACATTTCAGATGGAGTATACGCATCGATATTCATGTGTGTACGATCGGAAGTAGTGGACATTGTTCAATAAGAGACAATAGTAAACAATGATAGGCCAGCTTCAGTGTCAATGAAAGAGATCAAACTTGAATGAGTATAAATTTTAGAAAGTGTGGCTGTTGGTATGAGTAAGAAAAGAGAAGATACATAAACAACCCATATTCACACTCACATGTTTCTTATATTATCCTTGCAAGTTGATAAATTTTTTCTTTTAGAATTTATAACATGAAAATTAACTTTTGAACCAAGTAGTGATTTAGCATATGTGACAAATTGTAATTCAATACTTGAATCTAAAAATGAAATAAAATAGTATTAATATGGTATTGAAGAAAAGTTTTTAAGTTATTTCATTTTGAAAATATTTACTCTTTTATTTAAAAGCTTTTGAAAAAAAATTTAGATTTAAGAAACACTATATTAATAATAGAATATTATCAATCAAACTTTATGTAACTGGAAATTATCAAATATTCGTACAGTATTATCCATTACATTAAGATCATACACTAATAACAAGACAAGTAGTGAATTAGTTGAAAAATTACTAATGTAACAATAGCTATTAATTATTGTGTTAGAATTCAATATCAACATCGTTTAATAATAAGATTATTAGAAAAATTCAAGAGATTTGTTAGAATTAATATTGTTCCAATGGATTATAGAATTGTTTTTCTTAATTTAAAATGATTCATTCACTTAATTCTTTTATTCTTCTCAACTGTTCATGTCTGATAGGAGTTAGATAATTATGAAGTAGGAGTTGAATTAAACTATAAATTTGAATAACTCTATTTTTTGCACTAATATAACTTTAATTTATCCTTGATTAATTGAATAATAGGAAGTCAAGAAAATGTTGGGAGTTCCTGTGGCAAAAACAATTCATCGAAGTTAATTAATAAATTTCTGTAGATCTTTGTTGAGATTAAACAATCTCTATCGAAAATTTTTCTAAGCATACATAGGTTTTTCAAAAAAATTGGATTTACTTTTCGTTGATCACTCTTTATTAATTATGATTACGCATCCATTGAAAAAGGTAACACCTCTACGTATGTCTATGACAAAAAAAGGACCATATTCAGAATAATTTCTATTTGCATTTGTCTTTTCTTTAATTGCTATAGGTTATAACGATTATCTTATATTAACGATAGGATAATAACGGCAAAAAAAATGAAAGAAAATTCTTACTAATACACAAAATGGAGTAGAAGATATTTTCATACTTTAATATCAGCATTCATTTTTTTAAAGATATATAAAGTATAAGGGAAATTATCTTCAGTAAAAAATGATCTACAATACTATTATCTAGTCGACAAAAATACAAGATAAACATAAGAAATTTATAAAAATAGGTTTTAGATTTCTTATTTGTTTCTTTTCCATTTTAGACAAAATCTTCCTGAATGTCGATAACAAAAAAGAAAACTTTGGTAATTACTGACTTCACTATCTCCTACTGATCGAAATAATGAATTTGATTCATTCAATAGTATTTAAGACACAGCTAGCATTTGTAAAAATGGAATTTATGAAACAGTAAACTATATTAATAATTATAGAGCAATATTTATATATTTGAACAAAAACTGTGTTATGTTATTTATTTTCAACTTGTACTTATAATAAATTTGCTATCTTCAAAATTGTATACCTTACATACTTAAAAATATACTTAGAAATCATATGAACAGTCAACGGATTTCGACACATTTTAACAATTAATTATTCCAAGAGAAATTTTCTGCTAAATAGTTCATTTAGTTTTTGAATATCATTGAAAATATTTTTTTTAGATTTGTATATCATATCATAGAAGAATATTATTAATACTATTTAAATGAAAAAGTCATCCATATTCGTTATCAAAAAATCAAATAGAGTTGTAGTAACTATAAATAAATAGAGTAAGTCTATCTTGCATGATAATCATACAATTCACAAGATTGAACCAATTTAAAAAAAAGGATGAATATGAATGTGATTATGAATGCTAACACCTATATTCATATGCCAATAGATAAAGATAGAACTTGACATTTACTATTGTTCAATATATAAGATAATGAAGAGTTTATCTTCAAATGAAAAATCACTGTAATCTAAACTAATATTCTTCATGAATTTCTATATGTACTAAAATAGATTCTTTTCGTCAGTCAATAAAACTACGAAAACTATCTGAAAATTGTTTCTTCTTCATAGGAAAACAAAGTAATAGTTGAAGTTTGTTTATGTTAATCATGTCTACACAAATATAGATTTTGTAATAGATGTAAATTTAAATTTAGAAAGACAGTTTAGAGATTTACATTTTAGCTAACTAATATTTAAATGCAACTATTCCATAGTAATTTTGAAGTGATCCTAAGAAAATAAATAAATATTGAAAAGAGAACAACATCTGTCAATGGTCCTACTGCGAACTATACATTGATTGACTAAACTTTTTGTATTGCGGTCAGAATCGATCCAATAATAGTCTTCATGATATCTCTAATGAAACAATACTTATTATCTTGAAGAAAATTGACAACATCGATGTTGTTTATTCGTTATATAGTATTAATAGTGAACGATTTGATATTTTAGTACAAGATGATCCATTTTTGTTAACATTCTCAATCTTGTGTCAATCATTTAAAGTATAATCAATTTTCTATTAATATACTATCATGAATTTATCATGAGATAAAAAAAACTGATTGTCAAAATAAGATTTATAGAACACATTCTACTTACTGATAATTATTCAAATTGGAGTTATTTAGAATTTGTTCTATTCGAAACGAGATATAATTTATTATCATTTTACATGTAAGAGCTGAACATGTTTTTGATTAATCATCATAACAAAATGCAACAAAATTCAGTAATTGTCTTTGTTGATGTTTTTTTTCATTTGGATCTTTCAGCTGTTCAACATATCTTTAAATATCAAATAACACATTTTATTCTTCATAATAATAATGAATTTGTCAGAAACACATTGAGTTACGATTATGCTCGAAATAAACTTTATTAATTTTTGAGCTACCATCAAGTAGTTTTTTCTTCTCAACTACTACTGTATTACATATTGATATGTTTAATTTAGATGATTGTATTTCATTATTTGATAGTCTTCTTAAACAATTAACTACGTTCATCCTTCGAGTACATGCGATTTTATTATTGATGTCAAGTTAAGAATACATATCGATGATAAAGTTATAATACTTACACAAATTAAAGCATCATCATCCAAAATTGTTTATCGATATGGTACATGAGATTTGTATCAAACTAGATCAACAATAAAAAAAAAACTCTGCAGTTCCAATTTTTACTATACCGAAGATTTCTTGATGCCATAGTAAAAAGATTGGATTTTTATGCGTGGAAATATTTTTTGTCGTCGATTTCAAGCTACAGCAGTACTCAAACAAGGCTAATTTGAAAAAAAGAAACTTGTTATAGCTTCAGATGAGGCAAAACGATATGTTTAGTTCTTTCATGAATCTTCAAAATCTTAAAGTTTTCTCTTGAATTATGTGAGAGAAAACATTTCTAACATACACATTATATATGATTATATTATGTACAAGTGAGATTTCTTGATTACATATGCTATGAAGAGGAAAGATAAGTACAATCGTGCATACTTACAATATATCTCTAAATTTAACTGTTATCAATTTCGTTGAAGAGTTCAAGGAACTTATCATGAATCCAGAAACAATTGTTTCATATTAGAAATCGTTTTTGTTCAGATAAATTTTTAAAGTAAACATTTTTGGAAATCATACCGATATGTTTATTGCAAAAAGTTTCTTTTTCTGGAAGAAATGGGAGGAATAATGTCCTGTAGAAAGAAGACTAAAAAATGAGAGCTCCAAAAAATCAATTTAGTTTTTTTTTTTTTTGTAAAACTTCTTCAAACTTTGCTCTTTCATCATCGAAAAAGTCGGTGTGTGTTTGACTATTTTCTAGAATAACTCTAGAACAATAAAAGATATGATCGATTTTAAACTGACACTTTGTTTTTCGTTGTCTATTTTCATCAAATTTTACAAGAATATCAACACAGATTATAAACAAATGCAACCAAACCAACACCTATATTTACAACAAAATGATCNAAAGTATCAAACTGGTACTGATACCAGTTTTTCCAATCTTCCAAAAAATGTTCTGCTCGTTACATACAGCGTGCAATAAACAACAAACTAAAATAACTTAGCTGTGATAGAACTAAAATGAAGACCGTAACAAAAGTTAGGCGCCACTCTGTTAACTCATATGTAGGAGAGCTGTAAAAGCAGCTAATTACATATAATGAATCACATGGATAATTAATGACGACCTTTTACATGTCTGATTTTCAGTTACGATTATACTTTTATCCGATGATCAGTCGCAAAGAAAATTTCAGTTTTACTTTGAGAAAGAAGTTTTGATAATTTTCGTTTTGTTTTATATTCGGCCTATTTCGGCTCATGGGTGCCCATTGAAATTTCGGCCCATGGCTACCCATTACAATTTCGGCCCATGGGCAGAATGGGCCGGGCCGGGCCGGACTTGGCCCAGCGCATTGAGACCTCTGTTCCCCACCCTCGATTACCCTTTGGTCAAGTTTTATAGAAAACAAAAATTGGGCGTGGATGTTTTTTTGACCGTGATGTTCTTTTGACCCGGCACAAACCCACAAACCCACAAATCCACAAACGCTTTTAAGTTTTTTTCGTATGACCCTCCCTTCAGTCGAGGGAATAAAACTGAGCTTAGATTCGGATTCCCCGACCTCGGTTACCCTTTGTTCAGACTTTCTCTGGAAACTATTGCTGAGGTTTTATTGATTTAGTGCAAGCTAAATTCTAATTGGCTTGGCCGGACAGACAGACAGACAGACAAAATTTAAGCATTTTTAACCGCCGTATAACCCTTTCTTTCAGAAAAGGGAAAAAGAATTGAAAAATATGAAAATTAATAACCGTTGAAAGCTATTTTATACGTTTATCCCATCTTGGTATATGTGTTTTGTTCATTTGTGTAACATCAGGTAGATGAAATCAAATTGAAAGCTATATCATTGAAATATCTTCTAAAAAAGCCTCGATCAGTTTAGCTATTGGCTAAGGTCTGATTAAAATCGTGTCCACAATGCCTCATTTCGATATGAAATATCAAAATTTGTTTTCTCTTGTAAATTAAAAGATATTCTCTCGCTTCATTGTCTTCGTCACACAAATCACATCGTGCATTTAGTTTGAAAGAATGCATTTCCGCCCATGATCAATCAATCAGTTTCCTCATCGTGGCTTTCTAATGATCTTTGTTCGTTCTCTGAAACATATAGATAGAAACGCCCGCATCTGCTTGTATATTGACCGCACATTTTCGAAATAAAAAAGATAGCTGCAACCGCTTTTCCTTCAACAAACAATGAATCAGTGTTTTGTGGAAGTCGCATATATTTTTTCGAAGAAAATAGTGAGTGTAAGTTTTAAGTTCGAGGTTTCGCGGCTCCCTCTCCTCCCCTTACAGACAAGCCCTCATTACAGACCATAGCAACTGCGTCAAAAAAATTTCTCTTTGAAATTTAGAGATAAAAATATAGCACTTTCTAATAATCAATTATCTTAAGAAAAGAACTATTATCTTTTGAAGATTTTAAATATTGGGTATTTTGTCATTAGTATAATGATGCCAAAGGAGATATGTGAGTTCTATATTTCAGCGCCAAAGGGGATGCGCTAACAAGCTTTCTTATTTAGTCTTACAGCTTCGATCTGTTGAGACCAGGTGGAGAAACGCCGTTTGACTCGTCGCACTGTTCATCACGGAGTACTCGTCTTTCCGACGATATGAAACAAGACTGCGATGAAATAGATGATGCCGTACGAATACATCAATAGCCATGAGTGAAAACATGGCTGGTAACATCATGAATGACACAGTCAATGATTGAAATCGCGCGTTCCATCCAGTCTGTGTGATAATGGTGACAGGACGAATGAATGGCAACCAGAGACAATGATAGCTTTGACTCAAATGGAAAATAATGACATTTACATTGAACAGTAAAGAGACATACAGACTCAGATAATAGAGTGATGCTAAAGGAGATATGATTCCAGAGTCTATATCTTGACTAAACGATGACAAGTCAAAGAATTGAGATAGCCATACGGTGATGATTTTGAGTCTGAAAATGAACCGCACCGTCAAGGCAATGAGTCCAGTGACAAGAAATGAACCACCAATACAGACGCCAATGAGGAGGACATAAGCATCATGAGTAGAATTAAACAGTGTGAACTGCCATCGCCATTCAGCGGTGGGACGATAACCATAGGCGAAAACGGCCAATAGTGCGACCATCATCAACGACCACCATACTCCAATGATTACCATAGCGAATAAAAGAAAGGTTCGGTGTAGGCGTTGAATGTTGGATGGCACAGATTTGTACTCCTCGATGTTTGCAACCTGACGATGGGTCCATCGTGATCGTTGCCATCCTCGTATGCATGCGCAGACGACACGTATTGGAAGGACAGCGTGCAGATCAAGAAAAGTCGATCGATGGAAAACAATGCAGACCGTGATGATAGCAAAGATGGCAATAAAGAGACTAAAGATGACATTTCCCGTCGTGATAGATGCAACGCGTCGAGCTTTAGATGCTTCAATAAGCGTGGAAAGTATTTTGATGTTAGCATGAAGTACAGCAACATCAGCGTTTACTCCAGCATCGTCAACAAATAGCGATGAATACTGTGACTTCAATGAGGATTGACTCCATTGAGTCAGCAAAGCTGAGGCCAATGCTTGTTTCTGTTTGAATAGATCGAAGTACAAGCGAGTCCATTTCGATGAAGGTATGAGGGCGGAGATGAGCGGCGTAATAAAGGATCCTTCACTTTGACGTGGCACGGGTACACCCAAGAGAGCAGTGATGGTGGTGGCGATATCGACAGTGTCAAAGACAGAATAAACGGGCAACGAATTCTTCGCAGAAGCCAGTTGAGAATCCTTTGCATAGACAATGCAAGGAACGGCTTTCAACACCGACGCATCACCGCCATGACCACCAACATTGACATGGCCATGATCACTCGTCACAATGAATATAGTACGAGTCTGTGTCGTTGCATCAAGTGCAGTGATCGCATTGATACCTTCGCGAACAAACGCCACCTTATGATCGATAGCCGATTGAGTCTGCGATGATTGAACGCCAAATGAATGGGATTGTCCGTCAATATCACCATAAAAAGACAAGAACAAATCATAGTCGAAGCGAACAATGGCATTCGATCGTTGTTGAACTGTTTGGCTGTTGATAGCATCGTGAAATCGTTGATTATAAGCAATATCTTTATTATGATCACTATGACCATGAGTATAGAACGCGTCATCGAAATTGTTCGTGAATGTGGCACTGGTGCCGTCACCGTAGAATGGAGTCAAATGACCATTCAATAGAACAGACCACCATCCATCGCCGGTAATTCCATTCTTCATTCCAACACTCATTGATGAAGCAAAGATAGAATCGAATGTGTACGGTGTTAGTATAGCATTGCCTGTGCGACCATGCAACGAGGGTCGAGCACTAGTGATGAGAGTCTGCCAATTAGGAATGGACACGGTTGGAAATTGAGCGGACATTTTCAATATCAATGAGTCACGCATAAACCCTGTCGATGTTACCAATGCATTCAATGATGGATTCGTTTGTATGGCATCAAATCGCAGGCCATCTAAGATAAAATAGACCACTCGCGTACGAATACTGTCATTAACATTAAGACTCTGTGCACCGAAATATGCTTGAGTGGTATTCCTGTCGTTCAATGCTCGGATAAGATCAGTGGTGAGGTTAGGGGCTGAGCCGGCATTGATATTGTATCGCTCTGATATGGCATAGACAAGTAACAGAACGAAGAGCAGAGAAGTGATGTACAGTGTATGATGATGTTTTTCATAACGACAGAAGATAATCGATTCAACATTGCCACCAAGACTCGATGGTTTGCGCATCGATGATAGTCTCATTCTTTCTTTCGGTCACTCAAAACAAAAAATAAGCATCGAAGGTAAGATCGATGTGAAGCTACCAAGATGGATTTAGGTGACCTCTGAATCATCAATGATCGAAGCCAGAGGCATAGAACCTGTGTGAGGGTGCTCGGAAGGACATGCCCAACACATTCATGCAGATCCTATGTCTCAGGGTTGCATCATTGAGCATTCAGAGATCACCTAAATCTGTCGTGGTAGCTTCACATCGATCGAAGTAAGAGTAAATCTGATCTAATAACCATTTAGTGATAAAAAATGTAGGTCAATTTTTTTTCTCTAGCTGTTTGACATGAGAAAAAGTGAAATGTTAGAAAATGGCTTTTGCAATCCGAATTCTTTGTTAGACTACAAAATGGATGTGTTTTAAAAGTCTTTTATCCTATTCATCATCATAGCCTAATACTTACAAAACCAATCAACTATTCGTATGAGTGAAATATTGAAAATAAGTATTGAATAACGATGACACTGTTAACAGGATCAGTAATTGTCTTTTATCTGAAACAAAAATATCCGTACGTATTCAAGATAAACTAGTTGCATTATGCCTTTGAATCTTAGACCAATGACATAGTTGGTCTCGATTCTAATACATATTGTACGGGTCGACTATTGTGTTTAGATCATTATCAAGGAGAACAGCGAACAGCTAGTAGAAGATTCTTCTTATTATCTGCTAATTGATAAGAGAAAGAAATGTCGATGATGAAAACTCTGCCAGATCGCATGCTATCGATTCGTTTGTCCCCTTTTCCACGGTAATCCTCTTATTTAAGACATAGGTCAACCAGTCCTTAAAACTGGAAATATGAGTGTTAGAGAAGAAAATAGTCAAGAACCCTTCGCCCTTCAAAATATAAAAAAAGAAAAAAAATGCGTGATCAATTTTTCTCCATATCAAGCCCTCTTAATTATTTCTGTTGTCCTTGCATACGCTCAAGACTTTGCTGAATGAGACTTGATGAAATGACAAACTGTATGTAAATGTTACCTAGTTGTACTATTATTATTATCATGAAACAAGTGTCAATAACAATCTATTTTTTTGCAGATGAGCTTGGCGGGCAGCATCTCCTTTTTTCTCACTAATAACTGATAATAGAGGTGTATACATGAGCTCTCAGTTCATCCATATCCATATCCACTCTACAAATTCATGTTACATTAGTTTTGCATTCAGCGTTGCAAAAAATAGTCTATATTCAGAACTATGCAGTGATGATCCTAAAATCTATGATTATAGGATGAAAACTAGGTAGGGTACAGACGTGGATTCATGTAGGAGAAGAGGAGACATAACAATCGATTTACACGATGGACTTGCTGATGAGCAAGAGAAATGCTTAGCAAGTCGATGTTACTGCTTTCTCTTTTATTACGTTGTTCGCAATTTTTCATTAAGAACAAATGGGAATAAAAAAGTCTGATTTCCTGCTAGCTTGATAATGAATCTCAAGTTTTGTTTCGTGTGAAGCATTGAACAGATTTTGATGGTTGAAATAAGTGAAAAATAAGATACTCTTTTCTTACCTTCTGTATCAACAATTGCGGCAAAACATGTGCTTGTATTCTTATCTTGAAACACATGGTCTGTGGCAACCAATTCATTCTTGTTTCTCCTCTTGATATTTGACGTCAAGTCGATTGACATTTGATATCAAATAGCAGGTCCATGGCAACTGCCCAGAATGAGCATTACGGCGACCAGAAATGGTCCTCTACGACCGTTTAGGGCGACGTATATGGTCGTATCTTCGCCGTATTTCGTGGGATAGTATTACGGTCGTATTACCCCGATCTTATCAGGACGAACTTTCTCCCATACCATAATGACACCACAGCCATGTTCGCGTAAATCTTAGGGTCATCGAGGACGCTCTATCAATTCCCGGGCTTAGGCATGGGACTCCGTTATGACGCACATTGACAACTCACGATTCTGCTTTCATTGGTACAGACAACGGACCCATTACATTTCAGGAGAGTTTTTCTTCCGTATTACAAGGAAAACATATAGGCATGTTCGGGTCGATTCCAGGGTTATCGAAGATTCTCTATCGATTAATATGTGTGGATGTATGGGTGTGCATTTCGTTGTGGGTGTATGTTTAAATGCGATGTTCTATGAAATCTACAGTTAGAGCCACATCCACAAACATGCACACATTCAAACCCACGCCCTTTTGTGTATGTAGTTAATTTAGTATGTTCTTGAAAGTTATTTAGAAAAAATTATGTTAACACTAAACATTTTGTAAACATTGCCAGCACTCGCAGTGTAAAAATCTTATTAGAATTAGTAGCAATATGTTTTTCTTCTCGAACTATGCTTTACTGAATTTTAAGTCTTTTAGAGAATGGTACCAAAAAATAAAAGTAATAATGAAATTTCACCTTTTCCTTCTTAACTTTTTTCCATAATGTTTTGAAACAGGCTCAAAATTCAGTACCATAGCCTTAATTCAACAAGAAACGACTACTTTCACACAATCTTTAGAAATTTTTATTTAGACTACAAGTCCTATCAAATTCAACTTGAAGTGTATGCATTAAAGATATCAGCCATATGAATTTCTTCGTATTTCTTCAAGTGTTCCTTTGCAACATTTCGCCTAAGCATTAGAATTAAACAAACTTTGTACAGTCACAACAATTATCGTCATCAATAACATCTTTTTTAGTAAACTAAACGTCTATTTCATCAAGAAAGTCGACTCCTTTTTTTTGAAATTATTCCTTTAGGTTTTCGAACTATCCGCGATCGTATCCGAAACTGAAGATACTTAGATCTGTTAAAAATTATTGATAATAAAAAATATCATATCCATAACTCAATGTACAGTAATTTCATTTTTGTTTTAGTATTTAATCAGACAAAATAAAATTTGAATAATGAATTAATAATTTTAATTGATATTTTACGCAATTTTATACTATTTGGAGAATAAATAAAAGAGCAATTAAATATATCCAATAGTTTTCAGATGGATAAGATATTTTCATAAAGCAAGACAAGGTATCATTGATGACCTTCAATCTGATTGTTCAGTTCTTAACCTTATATATGTAAATATTCAACTGATGATAATCTTAAAACTTAAGTCAGTCTCTCTCTTCCATCATACAATAGAATGCCTTATTTACGATTATCTACATATGAGAAAAGTTTCATCAATTCAATAAAAAAAAGCAAAAACAAGTTGAAACTCGTCGTTTAAATTTGGCTAGATTGTTTGTTGGCTCATAAAAATCACATAACATTGTGATCGGTAGTTATATATGAATTTATGATAGATAAATTTTGTAAATTCCACCAACCCAAGTTGACTTCGTGGACGTGTTCGTTTCTATAAATAATTGAGATACAAACAAGGATCTAATTTAAATGTATTATATTGAAAACTCCACTGATCCTACTATCAATGAAATATTGAAGAGAAAAACGTTTGCAAAAATTATTAGAAACAGTGGAGGTTTGTATAAATAATTTTAAAGAATATATTCAACATCCAGTAAGAAAAACAATTCAAATGTCTCTTTTTTTATCTTTTTTTTTAGTGGTATTAGAACTATGGCTAAGCCGCACATTATCTTCGACAATTGTAACTAAAAATAAGTTTATAGTGAAAACTCTTATTTTCAAGACCTCATATAAAACCAATATTATTGAATATTTATTTCAAGATGAAAATATTTTGGATAAATAAACAACCTATGTATTTCAATAAAATTCATCGTGTTAAGATTAAATGAAAAATTACAAAACTATGTTTTCCAAGTTTGACAAATATAGTAACTTTCTGATGGAACAGCTTTGAGAAATATTGTCGACTTCTTTAAAATCATGATTGATTATGAAATACATGAAATCAATCCATTTTATATTGATATTTATTATTTTATTGGTAACTAAATATTTTAAGCTAAAACAATTATCGCAACATCGTGCTTCGGTTAAACAAAGAACAATACTTCAACACTATCACTTTCATCTATTGTTATAAATGAGAATCTAGTTTACAACTCAGTTATACAACATGAAGATAAAGATAATTTTATTATTCAATATTTTTTTCGTTCATCTGGATTATAAATCTCGATTGTTTAAATTGTCAGATGAATATTGTGATTACACTAGGCGTATATATAAATATCAATTCATTTTACGTATTCATTTCATCTTTGATACAATCTCATTATCTTTTCCGTTGCATGATGACGGTTTCAGAACTTTGAAGACTAATTCACAGCATTACAACATGGATTTCAAATTCCGAGAAGGCTTATGGATACAAATGAAACTACCGTTGTATAGTGAAATCTATTGTTAATCAATTCAAAACGTAGCTTAGTTCACGAATGATGACGCTATACGAAAGAATCTGTTTTTTTTAGAAGCTCATATCAATTTGAAAATTCTATTGAAAACCCTTTCTCCATTCCCTAAGGTCCAGAAGCTTTTAAATTTTCGAAAATATTCACGATAACACCGTAAAAAAGTTGTTAAACATTCTTAAGCTATTGTCGAAAGTTTTGATTTACTAAATTTGAAATCAAAAATTTTCGAGTGTGCTAATCCGTCAAAA